TGTTCTGCTCCCCACTCTGTCTCTGGGGAGGCCTCTTACCGCCCCTACACCTCTGGCCTGTACCTCAGTTCTGTATGCATAAATAAATAAATCTTTAAAATAAATAAGGAAAAAAAATCCAGTGACTACAACCTCTGCATATTTTGTTGGGGACGGGGAGGACGATTTAATCTGATCAAAGAAGGAAGAGAAGCACTCTTCTGTCCTAAACCATCTTTGCGAGTAGCAAACAAACTCTTTGAGAGCCTGAAAGAGAATCCACTTCCCAGAAGAGACACTGCGGAGGCACACTCTCCGCGTGCAGCCTCCGGCCCAGCCCCCTCAGGACCGCTATCCAGAGGGAGGAATGCACTTTCCTGGACAAGGGCCATGGCTCACAGGGTGGCAGAGGCATCTCGGTCACGCTGCCCTCCTAAGGGGCACCCGCCGCTTCTAGGAATGCAGAGGGGATAGCTCTTCCTGGGGGCTACCTCAGGAGGGCAGGGACAGGACGGGGCTCCAGGGAACCCAGAGGGGACGGCTGGTGACGGCTGGTGCTCACACATGCCGCTTTTCTTCCTGTGGTATCCGGAACATGGAAATGCAGCATCAGGGCGAGGGACAGGGCGGAGCCAGGAAACCCACACCTGCTGTCTCCTTTTACTCCCCAAGAAGAGGCGCTCTCACACCTCTCCTACGTTCCAAGGGGAGGCCACAATGGGGGCACTTGGGTGACAGCTAGTGGTCTCTCAGGCAACGAGAGTGGGGCACAGACCCCACAGGTAGGTGAGACTGAGGGCAGGTGCAGGGCCTGTGTCTGTTCACAGAATGAATGGCTAACAGTCTGCTTCTGGGCTGTAGCCACATGAGTCACCCTAACCTGAGACCTGGCGTGGCTCAGCACCTCAGGAGTGCTGTGGCAGGAGGAAGGGCCTTCACCCTGTCAAAGAGGCTGAAAGCAAAGATGCCCACAGGTGGCCTCCCAGATGGTGTGAGGGTTAAGTCTCAGCATCATCAAGCCATTGGCAGCCACTGCAGGCTGAGGTCCCTTCCTGTCCAGGGAACTGACCCACATGCCACAGCAGACCTCTCCTGTCTTGCCTGCTGTTCTCCTCAGCAGTGGATTTCAGTAGGTCTTCCTGTTTTTGTTTTTTAAGATTTATTTATACATATAGAACTGGAGTATAAGCCATAGGTGGAGGGGCAGTGAGAGGATTCACTATAGCAAGAGTGGGGAGCAGAACAGGCAGATTGGGGAAGAACACTGCTGAGGGGAGCAGCGGGCAGATCAGGAGAGGTCTACAGCCCCATGTGGATCACCTCTGGGGTGGGGATCAAACTCACACTGAAGCAGCTGCTGCTAGCTTGCAGTGCTGCGCTTTAACCCACTGCACCACCAGGGAGGGCCAGATCTGCTTGTCTTAATCCCCATTCTGTCTCTGGTAAATCCTTTCATCCCCTGTACCTCTGACCTCCACCCCAGTTCTTGTATTCATAAATACATCTTAAAAAAAAAAAAGAAAAGATGCCCACAGGCCTTGCTGTTAAGATAAAGGCAAAAATATAGGTGAAGCAACTGCCTGATATCCTGTGCGGGAGGCTGGCCAGATTGACTGACCATGGAGTACACCTCCAGTGAGACCCGTGATTCTTCAGGCCAAGACTGGTGTGAGGGAGGGGGAGCCACTAGCTTGAAAGAAAGAATCTGGGAATTCTGATTCAATCAACGGACCTACTGAGGTGAACATAAACACTCGAACGACATAAACAATGTAAGTTAGCGAGCACCTCAGGCCATTTTAATGGAAAGTTTTTCTTGGATAAAGAGATGAGCTATAAGAAGGGAACACACACAGCAAGACAGAAATCAATATTGTTCCATTAAGACTACAAAGATAGGAAGCCCGAGCCCAGGGCCACTGTGTGGGACACACCACGTCCCAGGCTGGTGTGGGTCCTCTTCAGCAGGAAGAGGAGGGGCTGCCCTGGAACCCACGGGGGTCAGAGTCACAGAAAGCTACAGTGGACAGCATACAGGGTCAGCCCCACGGCCACAGCTGAATATCCATGCCCTGTTTAACGGGCAACCGTGTGAGCACAGGGCTGAGTTCAGTGGGCAAGGTGAGTGTACCTGCTTCCTTCAAGGTGCTACACTTCTGGTAAATGGATGTCCTCAAGGTGGGCGCCCTCACATTGTACATGCGGATCTTCTCAATTCGGGAGTCAAAGACCCGCAGCAGAGGATCCTTCTCTTCCCACTGAGACATGATTTTATTATCGATGAAGGTGGCAAACATCTGTGTTTCAATGAAGCGTGAAAGGAAGGGCAGGTAAGGCTCCGGCTGATCAGATAGGAAGGAGGCCTGTAATCAGAAAATTAGGGACTCATCAGAGCAGGGAGGCTGTGTCCACACCAAGCAATGAATCCCTGCATTATCTGGGGCTGGAGACACTCTTTGTCAACCTGATCATGCAGATGGTGGCGGCTTAAAATTCAGAAACCTGGGCTCTCCCTGGTGGCTCAACGGGTTAAAGCACTGCACTATGAAGTTCTCTGAAGCCACTGCAGCATGAGTTCGATCCCCAGCCCGGGAGCTGACCCACATGGCATGACAGACCTTTTCCGACCCACCTGCTACTACCCTTAGCAGGTACTTTGTCCATCTGCCTGTTCTGTTCCCCACTCTGTCTCTGGTGAATTCTCTCACCCACCACACCCCTGGCTTGTACCCCTGTTCTGTAAGCATAAATAAATAAAATCTTAAAAAAAAAAAATCAGAAACCTTTGCCAGTGCACTTTTCCCGCCTTTCTGTTTAATCCAGGGAGTTCAGCTCACCTGGCCTCAGGCAGGGGTCCTACCTTTCAACATGCATGACCTCTGTGGACAGACAGGTCACCTTCATGAGAAGTGGGCAGCTATACCATGACAGCCAGTCTTCACTGACCACTAGTGTAACTGGTCCCAGAGAGCCCCAGAGAGCTGAGGCCTTGTCCACTGGCCAGGCCCAGCCCAGAAGTGCTCCAGGCAGTGCTGACTGACACTGCTGACCTGGCAGCAACACATGCAGGTAGTGACTGTAAAACCAGCATGGGATTGGCCATATGAGTGAGATCTTTTGGTTCTTCCAATGGCTGCTTATCAAGGCCCCAACACTGCTAGTGATTAGTGGGTGAGCACTGACTCCAGATCACACTCCTGCCAGAGCAGTGCTGGCAGACAGGCTGGGGCTTCACCCATGCAATAGCACTGTCTGAAAATCACCCAGGGCCTGTGGACACACCCTGACCCTTGCAGCCAGCTCGGCTGCCATGGGAACTGGTGCCTGCACTGTGGCCAGTTTCTGATTCAAAGGGCTCCCTTTCCTGTGGCTCCTCAGGTTCCCAGGTGGAAGGAAATACTAACTGCAGGTTGGTACTAGCTGACATTTGGAAGTGGTCTGCTATTTTAGCTGCTGGGCTGGTTCTGCCTCTCATTCTCTTGGGTCAGTATGGCAAAAGCCAGGGCTGAGTCCTGACTGGGGCTCATCAGCTCTTCTAGACATAATCACTTTTCATCTAAAATCTAGGAAGCCTTGGAAATGCTTCCTTATAGAAATCAGTGTAAGTGCCTTCATAGTGCAGACGTCTTTGCATAAATCCAAATAGCCACAGAAAGTTTCGCAGAGACAGAGAGGTTCTCTGAAAATGAAACGCGAAGGTAAATATTAATATACTTTCTTACAGAACAAAGTGTCTTATTTCCTAGGAGGGCCCAGTGTCTGCTGTGTTGGTCAGGCCCTCATGGACAGCACACAACAGGGCAACATATTGGCCCTGCATGACAAACGTGTGAGGGTCCCACAATGTTTTCTGGTAGAATGGAAGGTGATTACTCCTTCTCGAGTCCAACACAAAATGCTCCTCTCTCTAGGGGCTATATAAAAGGAATTCCATTTATAGTTCAGAGCCACAGAAAAATGGAGAGGGAAGAAAGTACCAGAACTCGATTTGAATGCTCCAAGGATAAACCATGAGCACACACAGATTAGCTTCAGGCTGAACAGGAAAAAAATGTGGAAAAATGGTTATGCTTTGTGAGAAAGAAGCCGAAGAGCAGAAATTTGTCTGGAGAAGCAAAGGCTTCTTAATGTTAAAGATGCTTTCTCAAATGCAAAGTTCATCATAACTGTTCAACACAGCTTGTATCGCATTTGAAAAAAATAAACTGATCAAATCAGAAGAGAACCTTTTTATGTTACTCACCTTTACAAAAATGTTTTATTAATAGTTATTGGCCAGGTGCTCTAAGGCTTTAGACTAGCCTCCCAGCATGCATCAGCCCCTCTGAGAGATGTTTCCTGACACACAGATAGCACTTAGTGAAAAGCAGTGATTCACGCTAATAGCTCAGCTGGTGTCTGCACACACTACTCTGCGGGCAGGGCTGGGACGAGGCCCCAGGGACCCGAGAGGGTTAGCACTGCCCTAAGTGCTTCTGTCTGGGAAAAAAAAAATACCTGGCTGCTATGGGCAAGAAAATCTGGCAGAAGAACACCCTGGAGTAAATCTTAGAAAGAAGCTTCAACTTCTGCAGGATCATTGAAAGCTGTCCTCACTTTCTGTCCTCTTCCCAAAACGTCGATCCTAGCCATAGACTTCTAATAATAAAACCCAAGACAGTCACTCTCCACTGAACCTTAGAACAAGACAGAAGTTTGGCTTCTGAAATGAAAGGATCGCCTTTAATCTACAGCTTTGAAACAGGAGGAAAACAAAACATAAGAATAAGGATTTACTAGAAAGGGAATGGGTTTCATTGACTTGATCCCAAGATAAGGCCAAATGGGGGACCCCTCGAGGTCTGGTAATGTCAGATTGAAAAAAATCTGTGAAATGGAAGGGCGGTTAGAGCTCAAGTGTCTTCAAAGTAAGGGAAACTTAAAAAAATGAGCTCAGGGGCAGCTTACTACATTATTGGGTGACCAGCTTATTCATGAGCTGGTCCATCTATTCTCCTGGGAAATTGTTTTACCCAGTGTAAAAGACAGGCAAAGAAAAGACCCTCTGAGGGAAGGGACAGAGAGAAGACCTGAGTTTTAAGACAAGTGAAGGGAACGGGGAAACAGTGGAGCCGTTACTTTGTCAAAGTTCTGCATCTGCTCGCGGTTGGTCAACCAGGACTCCAAGTCCTGTGCTGTCTGGATGACGAAGGCCTCGTAGTCCGAGAACATCTGTGTGAAGCGGTTGGCAAACACCTCCCGGAGCTGCACGTTGAGCTGGTGGTCCCGCAGCTCAGCCCTCTCACACTGCAGTTTCACATCTTTGTCGCCTAGGGAGCCAGCAAGGCCCACGCTCTCCACGGCCACCCCGGTCCGCTCGGCCAGGGCCTGCAGGCGGGCAAGGGTCTCGTTGCCCCGCAGCAGGTTGTACACGTTGATGTCGCTGGGGGCCACGTTGCCATTCTTCTTGTCGATGACCAAGTCACTCAGGACCAGGTTCTGCAGCTTGGTGGCGCTCTCACGGCCCTGCAGCCGGCCCTCGGGCGCAATCCCAAACTGCAGCAGCACCTCGGAGAGCTCCTGGATGAACGCAGCTTTGTTGGGGAACTGAGGGAATTCTTCCGGCAACTCAATGAAGTGGTTGTCAATGTCCACAAAACACAGGTTGGCCTGAGGAGAAACAAAGACATGAATGGGTGTGAAAATGCAGACACTGTGCGTTTTACAGTAAGCCTGCCAACGGCTGCAGGTGAAACTGTAGGTCAAGAGTATGTTAATCTTCTCAAGGTTCAGACTTTTTCATTCTTTTAAATGTAAATCTCTTTGTCAGAGCCTTTCTCTGTTTTCATGCCATCTTTAATATCCACGCACTCATTTTCTCTGGACCAAGTCAGCTCACTAAATTGCAGGTGTGACCCTGTACCATGCATCCCTGGGTGTTCTTAAGCAGCCCAACAAGTACAGGTGTGTGGACTCACATGCAAAAGGCACTAAGATGCGCCAGAAGGAGCCGCTACTTTCTGGGTCTTTCCACCACTTTAGCTTCCACTGCAATTTAGAATTAACAAGAATTGCTAAAATTTAGCATCTGTAGAACCCAACATTGGGATGACATTAGCAAAGAGCAATCCAGCTTACAGAAAATCCACATGTTTTCACTTTATCCAGAATTATCTTCAAACCCTTGGAAAGTGAAATCATTTCAGAAATATTGAGACAAAAGGGGAAGAATGGACAGGAGGGAGGCAGGAGCCCAGTGGGTGTGGTGGATGAGGGTTCTTCGGGTGACTGGCAGGTGGGTTTTGAAGTCTTTTTGGAGGGGGGCAGGAGATACAGGTGGGCAGGAGAGCTGCCTCTTACCAGATCAGCAATTACACTGATGGAGTGTTCCTTTTTTGGGGGGAAGAGGGATTCCTTTGTGGGATTGTTATGTATTGTTAATTCTAGGGTGTGACTATGTTGATTTGTAAGGACCAGGAGGCTCTATGATGGTGTCCATCTCCACAATCCCACCGCTGGTCTGTGCCACTCAAACTCCTATAGCAATTGAGCTCAAGGGTTTTCATTCCTATAGTTGGCTTAAGGAGAATGTTCATCATTTCTACCCCCGGGTCCAGTTTCTGGCCTTGTAATCCCTCTATCCCAAATTTTCTACTCTCAGCCTCTATCAGTTTCACCCAAAAACTTTAGGGAAGAGGTGACCGGGGGGATGCTTGTCAGCTGTGGAGAGAGGAGACAGAAATCATAAGACCTATTTTCTTGAGTTGATTTATGCTCTAGATGTTGAATAAAAAGATGACTTTTCAAGTAGGTGTGGGAAATACAAGGGGCCAGGTGCTTCACAAAGCCCTGACTGTCCCCCACGTCCTGAGGACTGGGGGTCCCAGGAAGTTGTATTCCTCCTTTCTCGCTTTGCCTCACAACCAGCACAGTCGATGGCGGTGGGAGAAGTACTGTGTTTCACACACCCCACTCCCACCCGACCCTGTCAACAAGGAGGGCCATCCTGAGTGACAAGCAGGTACTGACAAGCAGTAAAACCTCAGTCTCCTCCCCCACCCTCCCTTCAAGCCTGAAATAACCTCTGAGGAGACTGAGGCTCCAGCAGAGAGGAGGCGCGGGCCGTGTTGGACACGCATGCGCAGAGGCCGGTGCTCAGTGGCTCCTCCCCCCACGTTTGCTCCAGTGCCAGAGTGATGCTGCCTGTGGTTTCCTTTAAATCTGTTTCTGCAACGTGTGTCCACAGTCTCTGGGAAAGTCCCCGGAAAGGCTAAGAGGGCAAAGTAGGTCACTACCATTCAAGATTGTAATTCAGGTGGATGGAAAACTTACTAACTACAGTGCTCACCCTGTGCTGACCAGCAGCCTCCAGCTCTGCATTTTCTGCCTCCTTCTCTAATGCCTCCCTGCAGGCCCTTCCTGTTCCTCCAGCCATGAACACAGACAAGAAGTCATCTTGGGAAGTGCTGAGCGTGCCAAGCCCAGGTAATCACTATGGAGCTGAAAGCTGGTGGCCAGGAGGTGCCGGTCTCTTGAGGCTGTGCCCCCACCTAAGTCTGCCTGGAAGGGCTACTGGTGGAGCCTCAGTCCTCACAAAATAAAACAGGAAAAATGAATTCGTGTCAGAAACACTGAGGTAAAAACTAAGAAGCCCTTTTTCTCAGACAAACAAGAACTCCACACATTAGGGCATTCTGGTAAGGAACTTTCTCATTCTTCCCACCATAAAATTTATAAAGTATAGAGGATTTAAGGAATATTACAAACACTGAAAAAGATAATAGCCAGTCTTGTGTTGTTGTAGGGCTAGATAGTGCCATATTTTTACTCAGTAACTGCCCCAAAAGTCTACATGAAACAGTTACTTCCAGTTAAACCCCACCATCAGCACCACAAGGTGGGGAGTGAAGGTGGGAGCCCCCTCAGTGGCATCCAAGCTCAGGACACCCCCATGGTCTGAGTTCACTCTCCCAGCCGCTGTGTGTGCTGTGTCTCATCCCCACTTTTCCGAAATGCTTTCTGGTGTGCAGCCCCCAGCTTGGTGTTAGGAGGAGGGGTCCAGGAAGGGCGACCGAGCTGAGGGGTCTTGTCTCTCCATTGCCAAGGGGGTTGCCATTGGGGTTAGTCAGAGGAGAACAGCCATAGAATTTCAGGGCAAGACAAGACAAAGAGCAGGAGGTCAAAACAGTTCTGCTTCAGCCTGCCTGTTTTTTGTTTTGTTTGTTTGTTTTACCACAAGAGCATTCTTTTTTTTTTTTTTTTTAAATTATTTCTGAGCATCTATATACAAAATACTGTCAATCTTTCCTGGTTCAGCAAAGTGGCTGTCACAGTGCGTCTCCTGCTTCCTCAGTCTCCCTCTGGGGCTGGAGGGATGAGCGGCAGATAAAAGGGGAGGTGCTGTTCCATGCAGCGAGCCACTGGCCCTTCCTTCTGTCATCACTCCTGGAGCCCAACTCCCCCAGACAGCCCAACAGATGGCTGCCAGGGGCGCCGCTGTAGAGCTGCAGAGTCACGGGGAAGTGACTGGCAGTCCGTTCTGAGTCTGTGTGGTTTCGCTGTCAGCTAACGCCCCAGATCGCACCTCCTGAGATGATCATTTTGTAGACAGTATGTTCACGGTTGTGCCGGGAGCCCTGGCACTATTTTTAGCTGTGGTTTTATTTTAGTTCCCAGGGAAAGCACATGTGCATATCCCGAGTGCACACGGTCGAGTCACTTTTTCTACGTGGCTATTTTTATACTGAGTCCCTCCCCCAACTTACATATAGTAGCCGAAGTCTCCCCATTGTAAAATGACACCAGAGCAGAGTGATGCAAGCGGCCACCAGCCTGCTCTTCCCAGGCACGGTACCTGCGCACCTGACCGGTTACTGTGCCTTAGTCTGCGCTTCCGCAGGTGGGTCTGTATTACCTTAAATGGTGCTGATTTCATGAATGAGAAATTAGAAAACTACAGACACTCTACAGGGCCTTCAGATTCTGTAGTGTGTTTATCTTGGGGTCAGAGGATGTGCAGAGATGTGGAGAGGGAAAAGCTTCCTGCCATAAATAGCGCAAAGTGGAGCATTAAAGACTTTAAACAACTGTGAACCAAACCAAAAAATGGAAAGGGACATCTGCACGCAGAAGTCTTCTAAAATACCATCTAATGCGCCTATAATCAGGTGCACAGCAGAGTATCACTGTTCAGTTCTGAAAACAAAATGCATTTGGATGCTCTAGTCCTTTTTCCCTGAAATTTGAAAGGATTTACTTCTTGGAACCAGTCAGACACTTAGATTAATTAAGTGAAAGAGGAGCCAGGGGTATGCCAGAATGGAGGCGGACGAGGGAGGCAAAGCCTAAAACCAGAAAGAGCAAGAGCGTTTGCAGGGGTGTTTAACACGGGCTGAAGCAAGCCATTTCCCCTGAACAAAAATGTTTGTTTGGGAAGAGAAACACTGACTTGAATAAAGGAAGCAGTGGATGACTGCAGGCACCAGTACTGGTAAGATGGCGGTAGCCCAGTGCCTCATTTTAAACTCACTTATGAAAACAAGAATGTCCTTGGGAAACAAGAGTAGCATGAGAGATTTTATTAAGAAAGATGAGAATTATAGG